GATAACCAATCACGATTCTCCGGAGTTGTCTCCCACTTAAAGTCACTCCACTGTTGTCGATATTTCATCAGCGAGGTTTTTATGATTGTTTTCTCGCCTCCTCACCCCCAACTAATGTGGAAAAACACATGTGGATGGCACATGAAATGCACCCCACAGGGTTGGACTGGCAAGGAGATTGTGCACATCTGCTTGAACTTAAAAAACTCAGCAAGATGCTACCTGGGAAAATGGTTTTGCTTAGAAAGGGAGTACCAGCAATTAAACAGGAAATCTTTGAAAAGTCTGATGGGAAAAAGCATGATACTGTGAAAAGATACCGACTCTGGAGTCACAGGGCTTGGGTTTGAATCCTACCTTGTATGTGACCCTCATGACTTGGGCAAGCCACTAAATCTCTATGGGCCTCAGCTTCCTCATCTGTAAAATCAATCAACAAGTATTTTTTAAATTAACAAGTATTTCTTAAGTTGACAAGTATTTGTTAAGCTACTATGTTCCACTTAAGGTGCTAGAAAGATAATGATGAAGGGGGCAGGGAAGAGAAAATGTGTGTATATACCTATATATATATGTGTGTGTGTATACATATATACACATATATGTGTATATCTACACAAACACACACATACACATATAATGTATATATACACATATATGCACGTGTACATATATACACACATACACACGTAGTTACATACACATACACACACATATAACCTACTAGGTACCAGGCAATGTGCTAAGGTGCTTTACAAATATTACCTCATTTGATCCAGACATAAAGACAAAAAGAAATAGTCTTTGCCCTCGAGGAGCTTACATTCTTTTGGGAGAGACATGTCTTTGTTGACAATATGCCTATATGAAACCAATACATAAATACTACTTACATCTGGATGCCCAATAGTGCAAATAAGGAATCTTCTGAGGTGGGCACATTGTTCAAACCCCCCATTAGATGTTTTCCTTTAGGCTGGAGTCAATGACCATATTTCACATAATTATAACTTCAAATAGCATGAATTTGAATACATACAACCATTGCATGGAATTCATTTTTCGCACTGATCAGGATCTAGCTATATATATTTCCCCTAGCAACTGGGGGAAATCAGGAAAGGCTTCCTGTAGAACGCGATGGGATTGGTGGAGATGACTTCAAAGGTCCCTTCTACTTCTAGGTCTGCGATCCTATAAGCTGACACTTATTTCCAAATCAGCTGCTGGGAATGGGAGTTTTGGTCAGCTCAGATTTCTTTCCCTTTTTTTGGCCCTTTCTCCAGAGGGTGGTCACAGCTCATAGGTGGGATCTAGTATGTGCATAGGCCCATAGGACTTAGAAACTGCTTCACCCATGCCCCGTACCCATCAGGTTTCCTCTGTGGCAATAGCACTCCCACTCTTCCCCCACCTCCCATCTGACTGATTTCTGTTTTTAAGCTTGAGTGCTGAGGAGAACACAGGTTTCAGCTGCTGACTCTAGAATATTGCCGGTTTATTCCCAAGTGGGCTGTTATTGCCATTTTCTCCTCTCTGTCTCTAATTGATATGAACTTAAAGCTCAGGGTTTTGTTTTGTTTTTTGGTAAATAGATAAGAGAGACAGACAGACAGACAGAGAGAAACAGAGATGAGAGACAGAGATAGAAAGTATTTATTCAGTACTTACTATATACCAGGCAATATGCTGAATTCTAAGTACACAAATCCAAAAGCAACATAGTCCTTGAGAATCAAAATATTTAAGGGAGTGATGGTGGCCAGGGATTTTGAGGGGGGGAGTCAAAGGGATGGTGAATGGAACCAGCCATAGAAGCATTTATTAAGCACCTTTTATATACAAAGTGCTGTGTTGAGATGCAAACAAGAAGTTGTTGTTATTTGTCCTTAATGCTTGAAGAAGACCCCAATGACATCACAATGTTGGGGTCAATGTATACTGTGTCCAGTTGTGACTGATCATATGAATACAAGCTCAGAAGCCTCTACCACAGGTTGGGCACAGATAGTCCGTATCATCATTTGAGAAAGAGATGACTCTAAATCTGAGCAACTCAAATCCATGCCCTCAAGGGGGTTGTATTCTATTACCAAAGGATACACCATGAATGCAAATACACAAATGCATTATGATGTGAAGCAGGTTTGAGTGTTAACAATTAAAGGGGAATCAGGGAAGGCCTCCCAGAGGAGTTGGTACCTGAACTAAGCCTTGAAGGATATCAGGAATGCAAGAAAGTCTGTATAAAGGCACAGAAATGTGAGCTGGCACAGCCAGTTCAGGGGATTTCAATATCAGATACAAAGGGTTCAGGACTCAATTAAGAGAACTGTTTTTTTCAGAAAGCACAGAGCTGGGGAGGCTAGCTAACCTACTTGGCCACACAGTCAGGAATTAAAAAGACTTTGACAGGCAAAAGCATTGGTAAGATGAAATGTAATAGGAATAAATATAAGGTCTCACACTTGGGTTCAAAAGATTAACTTCCCTGGGGGGAAATGTGGTTAGACAGAATTTTGTCTGAAAAATATCTAGGGATTTTAGTGGACAGCAATTTCAATGTGAGGAAACAGTGAAATGTGGAAACCTAAAAGTTAATGTGATCTTAGGTTGTATTTGGAGATCTTAGATTGCCCAGGAATTAGGAGATGATGGCCTCCCTTTTGTTCTGTCCCAGCCCAAGCATATGGGGCATTGTGCTCATCTTAGGATGAACATTGGTAAACTGAGGGAGGTCCAGAGGAGGGAGGCAACCAAGAGTTTGAAGGCACCTTAAGTCATGCCATATGAAGAAAGAATTGGGAGCATTGATCCTAGAGAAGAGGAGACTTATGCAGGACCCGAGAGTTGTATTCAAATATCTGATGGGACATTATATTGAAGAGAGATTAAATAGCTTATTCTACTTGATCCCAAAAGTTAAGATCAATAGGTGAAAGTTTTCCATAAAGTGATAAATTTAGACTTGATATGAGGAGAGATTTACTAATAATTAGAGCTATCTAAAAGGAAAATGGGCTCCCTTGAGATCAAACAATCGTTCAATCAATAAACATTTATTAAGCATGTCCTAGGTGCCAGGCACATAAGCACTGGGGATACAAAGTGGGACAAGAGACAGTCCCTGCCCTCAATGAGCTTACAATCTATGGGGGAGATGGTGAGTGAACCCTCAATGGAGGTTTTCCACTAAAGGCTAGATGATTACCTGTCAAGTGTTCCATTAGAAAGGATTCTTGTTCAGGTGGAGGTTGGCCATGATTTCCTCTGAGTCAAACAATTGGGTAACTAGTACTTATTGAGTGCCTACTATGCACTAGGTACTGTGACAAATGCTGAGGACACAAAGTAAAGCAAAAGCAGTCCCTGCCCTTGAAGAATTTGGTCTACTGGAGGAAGACAACACATAAAAAATACGTGCGAACAGGTTATATACAGGATAAACTGGGAGTTGACTCAGAGAAGAAAGTACTAAGATTAAGAAGGACATAAATTCCATTTAGAAATCCCATGATTCTGCCATATCTGGCTACAATTCATTGATCTGAGTGAAGATAAGAAGTGACTCTAAGAAGGAGAAGTTTGGATCAAATTCAAATTCCCCCATTGATTTGTTCTAAATTTGTTTTATTCTAGTTACAACCCCTTTGATGGACCAAATGAAAACCCAGAAGCTGAACTTCCCCTCACAGCAGGAAAATACCTCTATGTATATGGTGACATGGATGAAGATGGATTCTATGAAGGTCATTATATCCTTTATTTCTATTTTACTTTATTTCATTTAGTAAGTAGTTATTTTCTCTCCCTATCATCCCACTCCAATTGAAACAAAAATAACAATAAAAACAAAATCCTATTAACAAATAGGCATAATCAGGAAAAACAACACCAAAAAGTCCCACATTGGCCATCTCCAAAAGTTGATGTCTCACTCTTCATCTTGAATCCACCTCTTCTCCTTCAGAAAGTGAGTAGAACGCCTCATTATGAGTTCTCTAAAATTGTGCTTTGTCATCATTGATTGGTCAAGTCTTTCAAAGTTGTTTCACAATGTTATTAGAGAAATTGTTCTGGTCCTGCTCACTTCACTCTTCATCAGTTCATACAAATCTTCCTAGGTTTCTCTGATATGAAGGTCTTTGACCAAACATAATTTCCCAGGGGCAGCAGGAACTACTTGCTACCATTTCTGTCTTTTTATATCTTGTTCACCCTACCATGTACTCTGAGATCCAATGACACTGGCTTTCTTACTTTTGCTCACACAAGACACTTCATCTCCTGGCCCAAGGCCTTTTGACTGATTGTCCCCCATGCCTGAAATCCTTTCCTTTCCCATGTCTACCACTTGGCTTCCTTGGATCCCTTCAAGCACCTGCTAAAGTATCCCCTTCTATAATGAGGCACCTTAATTCCCACATCATACAACTCCTTTAAATTTTAAGAAAGCAGATTCAGAAGGTTTGGGAGGCTTTTAGTCAGTCAACTAGCATTTATTATGCCCTTACTATGGACCTGGCACTTTGCTAAGTGGTGTGGATACAAAGAAAGGCAAAAGACAGTCCCTGCTCTCAACAAGCTCAGAGTCTAATAGGGGAAATAACATACAAACAACGACTAGCAAATAAATATACAGGATAAATTGGAGATAATCAATAGAGGAAAGGTATTAGCATTAAGAAGGTCCAAGAAAGGCTAATTACAGAAAGCGGAATTTTAACTGAGATTTGAAGACAGTGACAAGAAAGGAGAGAAAGAATTCCAGGCACCAGGGACAGCCAGTGAAAGGGCTCCATGCCTTAGAAGATGGAGTGTCTTTGGCCTTGGATCACAGAGCACATGGTGAAGATTACAGTACAAGAAGCCCAGAAAGATCAGAAGGCGCCAAATTATAAAGGACTTTAAATGCCAAACAGAAGATTTGCTACTTGATCCTAGAAGTAATAGGGAGTCATTGAAGTTTATTGAACATAGGGTGACATGGTCATATCTGTACTTTGGCAGCTGAGTGGAGGATGGACTGGAGTGGGGAGAAATTTGAGTCAGGAAGACCTATCAGCAGGTTATTGCAACAGTCCCAGCATGAGGAGATGAGGGCCTACACCAGCAAAGTAGAAGTATCAGAGGATAAAAGGAGGCATATGTAAGAAATGTTATTAATGTAAAATTGACAGGGCTTGGCAACAGATTGGATTTGAGGAGTAAGAGAGACTGAGGAGTCAAGCATGACACCTAAGTTTTAAGTCTGGGTGATGGAAGATGATGGCGCCCTTCATAGTAGTAGGGAAATCAGGAAGAAGGGAAGGGGAGAAAATAATGAGCTTGGTTTTGTACATGTTGAGCTTAAGATATCTTCAGGACATCTAGTCAAAGATATTCAATAGGTAATTGAAGATATGAGACTAGGGTTCAAGAGACAGGTTAGGGCTGGATAAACATATCTAAGAATCATCTATATAGAGAAGATAGTTGAATCCACAGGAGCTGATGCGATCAGCCAAAGAATATAGAGGGATATAAAGAAGAGGGCCAGGACTGAGCCTTGAGGGACAGTCATGATGAGTGGGTATGGCCTGGATGAAGATCCAGCAAAGGAGATTGAGAAGGAGCAGTCAGAGAAAAGAAGAACCAGGAGAGAGTCGTTCATGAAAATCTAGAGAAAAGAAAGTATCAAGGAGAAGAGAGTGATTGACAGTGTGAAAAGCTAAAGAGAGGTCAAGAAAGGTGAAGATTAAGAAAAGGTCATTGTATTGGGCAATCAAGGATCACTGTTGACTTTGGAGAAAGTATTTTTATCGATGCTTATAAATAGCAGTACAGCTATAGATCTGGATTGGTAGACGTCCTGTCCTCATCTGGCATTCCATACAACAATGAAGTCACCAGTCAAATTAACAAAAACAAAAAGGGAACTCCACCCCTTCCCCCAGTAAAGAAGCTGCCTCTACCAAGGCACAAGTGTATCTACTTTGCAACTAAGAGTCTTAGAGAGTTTCCTGAATTTAGTAATGCTTTTAAATGGGCTCACTGTTACTAATAATAGTGATAGAATCTACATGGGTGAATAAAACAGTGTGGGAACTCCACTCCTCCCTACCCCCAAGGTGTCTATAACATGGTAACTATTGAGTTGCCTAAGTTTCAGAGACTTTAACTCACTTGTCTGTGATTACTCAAATTGAATTCAGGTCTTTCTGACTTCAAGTTAGCACCCCATACACACCAAACTGTCTCAAGAACCTATGTAACTTTGAAAAGTAATAATACACACATGTTTAAGGTATCCTATTTATTCAGTCTGCAGAAGGTATGTTTGCTTGTTTATGGATTCATCAATGGATTTCAAGAAAGGAAGGAAATAAGCATTTATTAAGTACCTATGGTATTCCAGACACTATGCTAAATGTTTTATAGATATTATCTCATTTGCTTTTCACAACAATCCTGGGAAGTAGTTGCTATTATTCCCATTTCATAATTGAGGAAACCTGAGGCAAATAGTGGTTTAGTGACTTGTTTAGAGTCACACATAGTGTCTGAGGCATTTGAACTCAGGCCCAGTGCTCTATCCACTGCAACCCATAACTCCATGGATCACTAGGGGTTGGTCATCACAGTATGGAAATCACAAGTTTAAGACCTAAGGGAATTCAACAGAATTAGCCTATCAGGGTTTCCTCAGCCAATTCTTTCTTTACCTTCAGAGCTGGTTTTTCCCCTGTGCCAGGTCAGAGCATACATCTGTGTAACATGTCCCAGATTCAAGGAAGAATATACTTCTGAGTCCTACATTTAATTGTTGCATAGAAACAATAGAACTATGGAAATAGCCAACAGTCCTGGGGTGAAAAATTAGCGATGTTTTCTACTTATACCATTCTCAATCACCACCATACTGATCACATCTGCACCTAGACTACTTCCAACCAAAAAAGTGGACAGCCTCATCTGGGGCATTGCTTTCATTTGTGGGCACAGCATTTTAGAAAGGATGCTAATAAGCTGGAAAATATCCATAGGACAACCATTGATAGAGAATGTCAAGCTCATGCCATATGGATCAATGAAAGGAATGGGATATTTTGACCAGATAAGAGAAGCATTGAGGGAAAAAAGGAGTATTAAGGATATCTCAAATGATTTGAAGGGATACCGTATGATAAAGGGATCAAATTTGTTTTAATTGGCTCCAGAAGACAGAACTATAAATAATGGGTACAAGTTACGGAGAAGTAGATTTTAGATCCATTTGAGCAGAAACTTCCAAACAATCAGAGGCAAACAAAAATAGACTAGGTTGCCCTGAAAGGTAGTGAACTCCCCATCATTGGAGGTTTTCAGGCAAAGGTTGGATATCCACTTTTCTTCAGTCTTATAGAGAGGATTCTTGCTCAGGAATGGGTTGGATTGGAATATTATTGTGCTATAAAAAATGACAAGTAGGATA